GCTCCACGCAGAACGTGCCCTCTTTAATACCCATCACCAGGCTAACCCATCCCCCCACGCCCCTCACCTCTAGAACCCTCAGTTTGTTTCTCAGAGTCCATCGTCTCTCATGGTTCGTCTCCCCGTCCAATTTCCCCCTCTTCATTCTCCCCCTCCTTCTATCTTCTTCTTCTTTTTTTTTTCTTAACATATATTGCATTATTTGGAGAAACCTCATTTTGATTAAGGGAAATTACTCAATTTGTGGTTCAATACAGGGTTGGCGAAGCACCTCTTTATGCGTGCTTTCTGGGTGGCTTGATGCCACCCATAAGATCTGTTAACAGAGTCTTTGCTTTAAAACCACTGCTTCACCTTGCCTGTCCAGTATTTTCCCACTGTGCCACTAAGCAAATCTTTGTTTAAAAGTGTTACAGGATTTTTGTCCCCTTCGTGCCGAGGTTTTTGGTCATGCCGCTTCGAAGAATGAAGAGGTAGGCCAAAGAGTGGTGGACAGCAAAGCAAAGTTTATTGAGCAAGAGTATAAAGCTCCCGAAGAGGGAGGGGGGCTCGAGTGGCTTGCCCTCAGAGTTTGTAAGTTTAGGGGATTTTATGAGCTCTTTTGCCGAACTTTCTTAAGCAATCAGGTTGTGCCGAGTTGTGCCAGTCAGGGCTTTGGTCACGTATCTGTCTACCTATTAGGTTAATGTCTCTGAGCAGATCGTCTCTTTTTGCTGACGTCCAGGTGCTTAGGTCTTAGCTGCCCCTTGCCCATAATATTGACAAATGCTTTGTGGTTAATTGTCTTCTTTTAGGACGTTTTGCAGAGGTGATTTCTGCAAAGGCCACAAAGCAGAATACTAGTGTGGTCCTGTCTGAGCTGCACGTCAGGATGTTAGTGCTGTTTTATTTTAGCTATCCTGACTCCATATTTTCTTGTTGGGGACCGTGGCCCTGACTCTCGAACTCCCCAGCTCACTCCTAACAAAAGCAGACAGAACTTTCTAACCTAACTGCGTGCGGTTCTCCCTCCCTTCTCTGGGCGGTCCTCTTCTGCACAGAGGACATCTTTCTGTCCTCTTGCACCCACGCCATGTCATTTGGTATGAGTAATAAAACTCCACAACCCCCCCCAAACAAGCACCATTCTAGTGATTTCTACACCCACCTTTATGACTTGACCTCCATACAACCCTCCTGACCTCACTTCTGTGGGTATATATATGTGTCTGTTTTACTATTAATATGTTCTCAGGAAGTTTTATGGGAGTGCAGTCTAACCTCATATTTATTTTGCTGCCTTACACCACTTAATTCAAGTTAAGAGAGAGTTAAAATATTTTAAAAATAGTAAGTCCCCAAAACATATAGAAGGTGATTTTTAACCTTGATATGACTGAGAATAACCCAGAGAGCTTTTCATGGCAATACAGATGTCCAGGTCCCACCCTGGACCTATTAAATCAGAGAAGCTGGGGCTGAGGCATGAGCGTTTTCTCAGACTGGCAAAGTGACTAGACCAAGGTCACTCGGCTAGTAGGTAACAGAATCCTAGTCCCTGTTTCCTTGCTTGCTTTCTAGTGCCTACTTGTATTCTTTGGACTAAAGTCTCCTGAGCTCTGTGTGTGCATAATTAATCTGTGTCTGAATTTGTCTGCATAAAAGTTTCTTTATTTTATAACTGGCTTCCCCCCTCCCTGCAGAATAACTGTATCCAAAGGATGTGGAGATTCTCACGCTGACAAAAGCAACCAAAATAACCTCCCCCCTCCACCACTCAGTGTTCATGTAGAAACAAAATATCCACCGCTGGGGTGGCTTACTCCCTTCCGTGGGCTCTGCTGACTTGCCCCACCTTACCTCGATCCACAGGCCTGCCCTCGGTGCTGCCCCTCGCGTTTCCACTCATGGGCTCTGTTTTCGCTCAAATTGCCCTCTGTCGTGCCCACTGATCCAAGAGAAACCTCCCCTCTTCCCTCCTCCAGGGCCACGTGCTTGAGTGTTTGGCTTAGGGGCGCACCTGGATCCCGGTGGAGGTGCGATTTGTAAGTGGGCAGCTCACACCTCGCTTGTCTGCTTGTATTTGGAGCCTAAGAGAGGAATGCAGTGGACACCTGTCCCACAGGGGTCCCCCACTACCTGCCCCCACCCCCCCAATCTCTCAATCCAGAGAGCTTTGTAAGAGATATTTTCATACCATTTTTTTAATAGTTGGGAAGCAACAAAATCCTCCGTGAGACATGATCCATACGAACAACATAATTAAAGAAATCCCACTTAAAAGGAAATGCCACACTCAGGATGATGCACTGTGACACAGAGATGTGCTGAGATTGGAGATAGCATTTCCGCCTTTGAATCCTGCCTCCTCTTATCAGCAGTTCTGTTACTCTGACAGGTTGTTGAATTTCTCTGTGCTACAGATTACTCCACAATAAAGCGGGGTGAAATAAGATGAAATAAAAGCACCTACCTCATAGGTAGTTTGAAGATCATTTTGAAGATTCAATGATATAATCCGATTAAAATGGGTTTCGGATTTCATTAATTTGCATTAATAAAATGTAACTTATAGAAGATTTCCCGTATGTTACTTTTTAACACGTTAACATATGATTCCTTTGAAAAATGTCTTTGTTACCGACTCACACCTGCTTCTCTGTGTTTTGCTTGTAGCCCTGGAAAGGAAAATATCAATGAGGCAAAGCAGAGAGGAGCTGATAAAACGAGGGGTCTTGAAGGAAATCTATGATAAAGGTAAGGGGGACTGGTCCCCTCCACGGGGCCCGGAAAGCCATGTGTGGAATGTGTGTGCGTATTTCTCGAGTTGGATTCCATTTTCTGCATTGCTTTATCAGGATTTGAACCCTTAAAACTCCAGACAGTTTTGGAGGGAAAAGAGAATTTTGCAGACCACGCCACAGCTCTTGGTGTCATATTAGAGGAGAGAAATCAAGCTCCTTTATTCTCCGCATTGGAATCACACCCACCAGGTGCCGTGCAGAATGACGTGGGGGTAGGAATGATGCAGGTCCTGGTCGGGAGCCTGTTCGTGTTCGAATGCACACAGCTGGGGTGAAGTTAATTGCCGAGGCTCCTTCGGGCACTGGGGGTTCCCAAGACAAAGGTTGTGTTTTTTGCTTATTGAATGACTCTTTAAATGCACATGTATGCAGTGGTTTAAATGGTCTATTAAGTATTCTTCGCTTTTATTTTCTAAGAGCTTTGATGTTTTAAATTAGGCTT